ATCATGGGTTTGTCCAGAAGAACGTCCGGAAGGCTCCTGGAAGGCTCCCAGTATAATTAGCATATTACCCTTTTATTAGTATAGATTTTATGTTCAAAATTCTTCTAGTATCTTCTTATCACAATCAGATTAAAATCCAAAATCCTTACAATGGTTCTTTATTAGCCACACTGGCCTTTTGCTGTTGTTGTCTTACTTTTATTCTATCCCTCAAATATCTACTTTGTCATTCATTTCACTAAAGAAACTACCCTGAGCACCCTATGTAAAAAATAACACCTCAGACACTCTATACATACTAATTCTGCTTTTCTTTCATAGCTCTTATCACTACCCAGCATTATATATCATGTGTGTGTTTGTTTATTGACTTTAGAGATAAGATACATATCATAAAACAAATATTAAAAAATAATGTAGAGAAATATAGGATTAATTCCCAAAACGAGAACTACAGACAGGGTTACAGAAACCAAAAGGAGAGAGATTACTGTGAACTGGTTAGACACATTACAGGGAACCTGAGCTGGGTTTAAACAGTTTATCAGAACATGGGCTGAAAAGCAACTGAATGTGACTCATTGGGAGTGTTGATTAAAACACATAAACTAGGCACCACCCCAGATTTTTTCATCAAAATCTCTCAAGAGGCCCTAGCCCCGCCGTGGGCAAACTATGGCCCGCGGGCCGGATCCAGCCGGTTTGAAATGAATAAAACAAACAAAAAAAAAGACCGTACCCTTTTATGTAATGATGTTTACTTTGAATTTATATTAGTTCACACAAACACTCCATCCATGCTTTTGTTCCAGCTCTCCAGTCCAGTTTAAGAACCCATTGTGGCCCTCGAGTCAAAAAGTTTGCCCACCCCTGCCCTAGCCAGTTTGGCTCGGTGGATGCAACGTCAACCTATGGACTGAAGGGTCCTGGGTTTAATTCTGGTAAAGGGCATGTACCTTGGTTGCAGGTTCCCTGGCCTTGGTCAAGGTGTAGTAGGAGGCAACCAATCGATGTGTCCCTCTCACATCAATGTTTCTCACTGTCTCTCACTCTCCTGTTCTCTCTAAAAATTAATGGAAAAATATCCTTGGGTGAGGATTAACCAAAAAAGAAAAGAAAAAATCTCTCAAGAGAAGCATGGGTATCTTATACCAGGTTGCCAAAGCTATAGTACAATAAGGTCTAATATATATTGCCAATGGGAATATAAATTGGTATTACTTTTATGAACCACATTTTGGTAAACTATATATCAAAAATACCTGCCTTTGGGCCCATATTGCAATGGTTATTATACAGCTATATTTCATATGATACTCCCATATGTGCAGTGTGACATAAATATAGGTTATTCATTACAGCATTGTGTATAAATAACCAAACATAGAAACAACCAAAATGTTGATCATCCATACAGTGGAATACTTTGCAGCTATAAAAAAAGAGGAAGAAATTCTTTATTTATTGATATAGAAAGCACTCGGGTTTGTTGATAATAAAAGCAAAATGAAGAACCATCAACATGGTAGACTAACGTGTAAAAAACGGAGACTATTGAAGTATTTGCTTTCATATGTATATGTAATATCTCTGGAAAGATTAAAAAACAAAACTGTTTAACTGGTTACCTCCAGGAAGGGGAATTAAATGAGATGGGGAAGGGGAAGGATGATAGAAGTGAGAGGAAAACTTGAATTTTGATCTGGTGGATATATAACCTATTAAAAATTAAAAGAAAAAACCAGAGTGAAAACTGCTGCTCTGTCTGTGGAGTAGCCGATTTTATCTCACTGTTTCACTAATAAACGCTCCTTCACTATTAAAAAAACAACAGTGAAAACTAAACCAAAAAATTAAAAATAAAAACTTTAAAGAATCACTGGCTTAGAAGAATGGGCAAAATTCAGACATGTAAGGGAGGATATTACTTTACTTCTTCCACATAGGAATTACTCAGATTGGTTAACAATGCCTCCTCTAAGACTTAATTACCATGCCAATATCAAGTAAGTTGTCACATTGTAGTGTGACTGGATATATGCTCTAAATATAGTAAATTGAAATTAAACAGCTCAGTGACTTTTTTTATTTTTTTGTAACGTTTGGTTTCTATTAATCCACACAGTCATAGATTGTGTGGTTTTATAACAGGACATTAGTGGGAAAGTTGGCCAAATTTCAATGAAGTTTAAATTATCAAATTAACTTCTTGATAAGTATACTATGGTTTTATAATATGTTAACATTGGAGGAAGCAGAATGTAACTTTTTAAGAGTAAGCTTAGTTTAAAAAAAATTTTTTTAATTCCAGGAGGAAAACAAAAATTAATATATATTCTTAAACGTTTTCTTTTTAATTCTAGCACCAAGGAGTATCATTTTTGCTGGCTGAAATGGCAATGAAAGTTGAACTAGCCAGATTAGGTTACCAGAGAGCCGCATGGGAGGTTGATTCTGGTCGACGAAATACCTATTATGCATCTATTGCAAAGGCATTTGCTGGAGATATCGCAAATCAGTTAGCTACTGATGCTGTGCAGATTTTTGGAGGCAATGGATTTAACACAGAATATCCAGTAGAAAAACTAATGAGGGATGCCAAGATCTATCAGGTAAGATTATAAATAATTTTTGTTATTTTTTAGGAAAATAATGTTTGTAGATGACATTAGATTTGATCATTTAGGAATTTTATGCCACCAGTAATAACAAATGACATCATAGATGTTTGTAATCTGAACTAGTTAACACAAATAAGTATATTACCTTTAAGTACATGCCTTAAGAGAGAATACGTTGCAACATCAAATGTTAGATTTCCCAAACTTTTTGAAATGTTAATATTTGATTTTTTAAGACAACTCCAAAGTTTTGGTAAATCACTTTTTATAATAATTTTAACTAATTGTTACAAAATTATATATTTTCATGGTTTTCACAAAACCAGGTTTTGGAATCACTATAGACCCTATATATGATTTTATGTAGTTGGGTACTAAAATAGAGCTTAAACAACTTTTTAAAATATTAAGTAAATTGAAGTATTTGTGTAACAAAGATATTTCACCTACATGTATATCTTTTTTTCTTGCAGATTTATGAAGGTACAGCACAAATTCAAAGGCTTATTATAGCCCGTGAACATATTGGCAGGTATAAAAATTAACAAGGTCTCTGTAGAAACATGACTAATTGTTGAGTAAATAGAACATAATCCAGTATTTAAGCTACAGAAAAAGAAAAGGCTTCAAGATTTTTCCCAGTGAAAATCTTCAAATAAGTACTCTTCACTAATCATATGCAACTGATTCTAATAGTAATTTTTCCTTTGTTTAACTTTATGACTTGCCTTTCCTCAAATAGATTTGGTTTCATTAAATTATGTGTTGTCTTCAGTACCACTGTACTTGAATTATATTAACCTTGAAAAATGCATTATTTTTGTTATTTTGACTTCTTTTAAATTAGAGTAACAGAAATTCCTTGGAATTTCAATATTTTTCCAATGACAGAATAGTGGGTTTATAAAAGTAGGATATTCTAAAATTTACAATGAGAAACTTTTATAGGATTTGGACGCAACCAAATAACTTGCCAGTGACTTTGTAGACTTAATGATATTGTATTAGAGGAGTTCATTTTGCTAGAATTTGGAAAATATTTGTTTTCAATTTTATACAGTGATAGTAAAAAATTTGATGCTTATATTCTCCCATTATACAACAACCAGAAGTTACTTAAAAATTTTGTTTAATTCTGGGCCCACATTTTCACTTGCCTTATTTAAAATAAATCAATAAAGTTTGCCTTAAATTATTTTTATATGACTCCAATCTCAATTCATGTGCATACTGAAAAGAAACTTTTAAATAAAAGTGTTCAATACTTATTACTGTGTCTGTATTTTTTTTTTAAACCTCACCAGAGAAAATGTTTTTCATTGGTTTTAGAGAGAGGAAGGGGGGAGGGGAAGAGAGAGAGAGAGAACGAGAGAGGGAAACATCCATTAGTTGCCTCCCAAATGCTCACAACCTGGGTATGTGCCCTAACCAGGAATCGAACCTGCCACCTTTCAGTGTATGAGACAACAATTCAAACAACTGAGCCACAGCAGCCAGGGCAGTGTACCTCTATTTTTTCCAGAAAATTTATTACTTCATGTAATAGTGGATACCTAATTTACTATGATGGAATAAAAATCTTATTTGGATTTTGAACTGCATAAAGTTACTTGCCCATTTTTCATGAGATTATATTATTACTAGAGACCCGGTGCACAAAAATTTGTGCACTCAGGGGTCCCTCAGCCCAGCCTGTGCCCTCTCGCAGTCTGGGACCCCTTGGGGGATGTCCACCTGCTGGCTTAGGCCTGCTCCCCGGGGGATTGTGCCTAAGCTGGCAGTGATACATCCTTGGGGGATGTCCACTTGCCAGCAGGCCAAAGCTGCAGTTGAACATCCACAGAGCTGCTGAGGAGGCAGGAGAGGCTCCCACCATCGCCAATGTGATGCCATCAGCCTGGCTTGTGGCTGAGCAGAGCTCCCCCTGTGGGAGTGCACTGACTACCAGGGGGCAGCTCCTGCATTGAGCATCTGCCCCCTGGTGGTCAGTGTGTGTCATAGTGACCAGTCATTCCCAGTCGTTCTGCTGTTAGGGTCAATTTGCACATTACCACCCTAACGGGTTTGGCTCAGTGGATAGAGCGTCGGCCTGCGGACTGAAGGGTCCCAGGTTCGATTGTCGTCAAGGGCATGTACTCTGGTTGAGTACACATCCCCAGTAGGGGGTGTGCAGGAGGCAGCTGATCAAAGTTTCGCTCTCATCGATGTTTCTAACTCTCTATCCCTCTCCCTTCCTCTCTGTAAAAAATCAATAAAATATATTTGGAAAAAAAATTGCATGTGCACATTACCCTTTTATTATATAGGATAGAAGCCTGGTGCACAGGTGGGAGCCAGCTGGTATGCCCTGAAGGGTATCCCGGATCAGGGTGGGCAGGGGACCCCCAGCTCCCTACGATCGCCCACGCCGCCCCTGCTCACGATCGCTGGCTCTGCCCATGCTCAGGCCTAACACCTCTGGCCAAGGCATTAGGCCTGGGCAAGGGACCCCCAGCACCCCACCATCGCCAACTCGGCCCCTGCTCCCTGCGATTGACGGCTCCGCCCTAATGCCTCTCACCCAGGCATTAGGCCTGGGCAGGGGACCCACAGCTCTCCAAGGGACCTCCTGCTCCACCCCTTCCCAGGCCTAACGCCTGTGGCCAAGGCATTAGGCCTGGGCAGGGGGACCCCAAGCTCCCACCATCAGGCAACTCTGCCCCTGCTCCCCATGATCGCTGGCTCCAACCCCTGCCCGGGCCTTTACGGCCTCTGGCTGAGGCGTAAGAGGCCAAGGCAGGGGGGGAAACCCCAGCTGCAGGCCGCCCCGCGATGGTGGGCTTCG